GGTGGGGGCCGGCGGGGGCAGCGTCCTGGCCAGCAGATGGAGGGAAGGGGTGTTCCACCTCACCTGGCACGCAGGGGCTCACAAGGGGAATAGTGCAGTTTTGGGGCCCCAGCACAAAGAGGCAATGGGCATAACTTAAAACAAGAAAGATGCAAACTGAGTATGAGGAAAAACTTTTCCCTCAGGAGGAGGGTGCAGCGGTGGAAGAGGTCACTCAGGGAGGCTGTGCAGTCTCCGTTCTCGAGGGGTTTCAAGGCCAGGCTGGATGAAGCCCTGAGCGTCCTGGTCTGGCCTTGTTGCAGACCCTGCTGTGAGCAGTGTCGAGAGACCTTCCGAAGTCCCTTCCATCCTGAGACACCCCTTCACCCTGGGACTCAATGTTTTGCTTACGGCACCGCTGAAGATGTGCTGTGGGATCAGGAATTCGTATGCTTCTGCCTGCTACTGTGAGCAGAGGTGGAGTCAATAAGCATCTTGCCCAAAGTGGACGCTTCTCTTCAATCCTCATTGTCTAGTGGCGCATGCCTTGGACCGTGGGAGTTTATATCCCTTGTAAATGTTTATTTGGTCCCGTGTAGCTCTCCGTATGTTCTCGTTACCTACTTAGAGGTTTCATCCAGTATTGATTCCTACTAGATTCGTGGTCTCAGCACCACCTCGGGGCACAGGAACCCAGAGGTTAATAGGATGCTATAGGCAGAGATTATCTCCAATTATTTGGTATTATTGTTATTATTTGTTCACACTGTGATTGTGCCCCTAATGTGCTGTCGCTTTAGGAGCACGGCGCAGTGTTTTCCCAGCAGCCTTCCCTTTGTCTCCTGGGAAGAGTGGGCAGGAGGAAACGGCATCTTCTCCATCCCATCCAGCGCTTGCAGCCCAGACCCTAGTGGGCTCGCGTACACCTTTCCCAAGAGGCAGTCCCAGGGCTGTTTGGCTCTTCTGATGGAGGTGGTGCTGTCTTCTGCTTGCAACTTCTGCTGTCTTTGCTCCCTTTTCTACCTCGCGTTTGCAGATTTGGGAGTGTGGCAGCAGCCAGTTGGGAGCACATCGCTGGGAAGTGCAGTGTTTGTGGGGATTTTACTCCCTGACCTGTGTGTGTGACCCAGAGCCTTTTTCGAGGTGAAGTGTTTGAAAGGGAGCACAGCTGCTAGGGTAACGGTCCGCTGGCCACGGATAGCACATGGTTGTTGTATTTCCCTCGCCTGTGGGAGGCTGGACCTCCTCTTCGGCACCGCTCCTCCTCCCGCCTGGGCTGTGGTGCACTGCCGGCTGGGGCTGGTGCAGTGATGGGGAGCGGCGTGGTGACAGGGACCAGTGCTGCTTGACTGGGGTCTTCTCTTGCTCCTCTGTTGCTCCATCC